TGCGCACCATTGCGACTTTTCAAGTAGAGACCCCGGCCCAGTTTAGAGGGGCAGTAATAATAATGGAAGAAGTCTAGGTCGAATCGACCTAGACGGATGTCACAAAGGATGATGAAAGTGGTGATGAAACGGATGGCGTTAGGAGGAAGTTGATGCAAGGGAAGCGAGAACCACTCGCAGATGCGGATTATATCACGGTTCAAGGGAAAGCGTAACCCGAGCTTAAACTGGACCTCGAAGAAAGGGTAACAGTCTCGCGGAGGATGATCATATCGGTCGGAAGGGGAAGATCTAACAACGCCCAACCAAGAGGTTGGCCGATTTTGTCATGGTTAAACCAGGGATGAGAAAGGGTAGTAGAAGATGAGCGCTTGGAAAGTTTTTTGGTCGAGGACTGTTCAGGGGGATAATTTGAAGGGGGAGGAGCAGTTGGCTGTGAAAAAATAACCTCGTCCTCCTCTGGATCATCTAGTGCACCAAGAGGAGGTCGACGGCTGCGGAGGGGAATGTTATCCATGGTGTCGTCGGAGTTGGAGGAAGCAACACGAGCTGTGAAGACGCGGGTAGGAACAGTATCACCGGGGTGAAGAATCGAGAGAGGAACGACTTCAAGGGCAGAAGGCAAGATCTCAACTGAACCAGAGGAGGTGGTCGAGGTAGCAGGATCTGAAAACAAAAGTAGAGAGGAACAATATCAAAAGAGGAATTTTGGCAAAAAAGGAGAAGGGTAGGAGGAGAAGGTTTTAAAAATTAGGGTTACACGAAAGGGGCTATTTTGAAGAAAAGGAACAGGGATTCCGAGAGAATTTCAAAGGGGAAGAGCGAAATCTACAACGATCAACAGACAAGCACAAAAATTCAATACACAGATTCAAAACATTCAATCAGCAAACTTCAGATACCCAATTTGAAAAAGAAAAGAGAGAAAAAATTTCTCAAAACACAAAAGCCCAGATACAGGAAGTACAAAATCAGGAGAAAAACAACTTACTCATAATCACGGAGGAGAGAATCGGGAAAACTTGAAGATTGCAGGAAAAAATCGCCGACGGAAGCTAGGATTTTTTGCAGAGAGAACTTTGAATGCAAAGGAATTTGGGAGAGATGAAGGTGGAAAAAGTCTGAAATTCTGCTAAGTACCGGTTTTATACCTTAGAGAGTTTAAAGGGTGGAAAAGGAGGACCGTCAGATTAAAGTTGGATCGTGCGACGAAAAAATTAAATTACACGGTACTCCAAGTGGGCGCGTTATGCGAGGGGGAGCCATCATTAAAGTACCTGACACACGCGAACAGGCGTGACGCGTGGCGAAAAAGAAGGAGCGACATGAAGGACTTGAAACAGACGACTTTATTACTGGCAATTAATGGGAAATTATTTGAAAATGTGACCGGGAAACTTATTACCTGGTCGATATTGAATGACGAATCATCGGGGAGGTCGATAA